ACCCTGGGCATCCCTGGAGTGCTGTCCAAACCCTCCTGGAGCTGTTGGGAATGTGCTCATTCCCTGGGGAGCCCAGCACCCTCTGGGGGAAGAGCCTTTCCCAAAACCCATCCTGGCCCAGCCCCACAAAGGACACGCTCCAAGCGCCTCCATTTCCTTCCAGAAACCCTGGGCAAGGCCCCACCTGGGCACCCCATGGCCCTGACCCCATCCACACGGGCAGCACCCTGCAGGAGCTGATGGAGGGATGTCCTCTGCATGGCCTCGGGCCCACCTGCACCTTCCACACCGGCAGCTGTAGGGAAGCAGGGCTGACTCCTCATTTCCCAGGATTTCCTCCCTGAGGTCACTGCAGCCAGCCCAAAGCCCAGCCCTGCCCCTTGGTGGGACGGCTCCTCTGTAGCTCATAGCCAGGGGACAATGCCATGGGAGCTCCCCAGTCCTTCACTTCAATTCCTGCCATGGATTGTCCCCGTGCAGCCCTGCAGGGAGCAAACCATCCCCAAAAATCACCTGGAATTGGCATCAGGCCATGAGGACTGACACAACAACAGGGCCAAGTGTGCCAGGCCAGGCTGGACATTGGGCTGGGAGCAGCCTGGGACAGGGAGAGGTGTCCTGGCCATGGCAGGGACCTGGGATGGGAGGGGATTTAAGGTCCCTTGAACCCAAACCATTCCAGGATTCCATGATTCTGTGACATCCTTTCCCCCAAAGCAGCAAGGCCCTTTTGGAAAGCTTTTGTTAACTCTGTGGTGCCGAATGCAGGAGAAAACCCCAAACCTGAGGGAAAGTCAAGCAAGACACCCTGGGAACTCTCTTTTCACTGCAAGCCTTAATTCCCCTCTTTGATTCAACCTAAATATTTGGATTTACAAAGTCAAATCTTGACTTTTACAAACCAAATCCACTGTTTCTTCATCAAATGGCATAACCTGAGAGCTGAGCTGAGCTGAGCACCCTGATTCCAGCAGGGATGAGGCACAACCATGCCAGGGCTGCTGCTCTGGGGAGAGAGGGCTCAGCCTTTTATTCACCTGTCAAATGCTTAAACAGCTCCTGAGTGCTGCACAGAGGAAAATAAGAGCCCAGCCTAAGGAATAATCACATTCCATGACAGTAAGCTGTATTTTAGAAATTAATGACTCATGGCAGGATTGAGCTCATCCTGAGCTAAATTACTGAACCTCTGCTCTGTTCCTCTGCAGACACGATTTTTATCCATTTAATCAGTGCTGGATTTTGAGGAATGCCTGGATCACTGCAGGCTCCCCCTGGAATGGACCCTGCTCCCAGCAGCTGCAGGGGTGACCAGAGTCCCCAGGTGATGCTCTGAGGAAAAGGATTTTGAGACCAAAAAAATGCAAAATTCTGGGAAGAATTCAGAAAAGTTCATCCAGAAATGGTCACTGACCAGCAGAGCCCTGTGGAAATAAGGCCACAAAACTCTTTTTAAAGATTCTAAATTCTTTTGTCACAATGTCCTCAACCTTTGAAGTGTTGTTACAGCCTGAGAGCTGATAACACAAAATGCTGCTCTTCTCTTCCTCTCAGTATTACACAGGAAAAATTACATTTAAAAGGGGGAAGCACAAGTGCTGCCAGAAATGCAGCACCAGGTGTAACTAAGTCTCAAAAGAAAATTGGCTTTAACCTCAACTATCTCTAAAGAAGCAGCAAAAAGTTCCAGAAATAAACTGCACATCTAAATATAGTTTTGTGTGAAGTTGAATGTCCTTGGGCTGCTCAGGGACACTCAGTGGCTTCACTTGGAGTCTCTGGCACAAGCTGGGAAGGATTTCCACTGATTCCTGTCAATGTTTCAAGGGGATTTGATTACAAAGGCCAAAAATCCTCTGGAATCATCGAGTTCAACCATCCCCACCACTGCCCTGTCCCCAGTGCCACATCCACAGGGCTGTGAAATCCCTGCAGGGATGGGGGCTCCACCTGAGCACCTTTTCCTGCAGGAATTGCCCCAAAATCCCCCCTGAGCTGCCCTGGGCCGGCCTGAGGCCGTTCCCTCTGCTCCTGTCCCTGTTCCCTGGGAGCAGAGCCCGACCCCCCCGGCTGTGCCCTCCTGGCAGGGAATTCCAGAGAGGGAAAAGATCCCTGGGGATCCTCCTGTGCTCCAGGTGAGCCCTGCCCGGCTCCCTCAGGGATTCTGCAGCCCCTGCCCGGCTCCCTCAGGGATTCTGCAGCCCCTGCCCGGCTCCCTCAGGGATTCTGCAGCCCCTGCCCGGCTCCCTCAGGGATTCTGCAGCCCCTGCCCGGCTCCCTCAGCCCCTCCTGACCCTGAGGTGTGAGGGAGAACATTCCAAAGGGAGACCCTGCCTGAGGAGGTGTCTCAATCTCACCTGCATGAGGGCTGCAGTTGGGTCAATAAAAAGCAAAATGTGTAAATATTCCTCTGGGAGACATTTGGAGAGGAGGTGAACGAGAAAAAAGAGGAGAAACGGAAGCTGAACTTCCACCCCCAGCATCCCAAGAAGTGCTGGACGCTCTGACACAACCTCTTGCTGCTGTCCTGCACAGGTCACAGCTTTTGTCAGTGAAATAAATCTCATCAGAAATCTCAGGGAATAAACTGATCCTGCCAGAATTCCAAGGGAAAGCACCAAATCCTGTGTCACAAACGCCCAGAAAACACAAGGAGGAGTTCTGATGCCAGCGTTGTGTGGAATCACAAGCACATGTTTCCAGCTGCCCTAATTAGTGTCTAATAATTGACTCCTGTCCCTTAAGGGGGTTCTTGGCTCTAATTGAGCAGCACCTGCCACGTCAGAGGAACAGTTCTGTGCACCCATTCCTTGCTCAAAGGCCACACTTGACCCCTTCAGTGCCAGCTCTGCTGCCAGCCTTGGATTTGGCACAGCTGGGAATCTGCATCAGGAGTCACTCCAGGACAGCAGGGACCCCACTGCCTTTGGGGGTGTTCAAACATCACCCCACTGATTCCCAGCACACCCCTGGCTGTTCCTGGCAGCACAGGAGTCCCCCTGTGCCCTCCAGAGCAGCATCTCCCCCAGCAGAGAGGGCACTGCCAGCTCCCCACACGGACAGGCTGGAGCTGGGAGCTCTGTCCTTGTGGACACACACACCCCACAGACCCTCCCTGCTTCCCACCACACGGTGTGGACAAAAAAAATGCAAATCCAAAAGCTCCTCCAAACGTTATTCCCTTCCTAAATTAGATTGAGCAACGGATCGAAACCTGAAATTAAATGCAACATAATGAAAAGTCGAGTAATGAGTTCAAATCCCAGGGAGCTGCTTCTCTCCTGGCACAGAAGGAAACCAAGGATGTCATTTCCATAGGTACTATGGGTTCGGGGAGAAGGTGGTGCTCAGTTTTTCATGTATACAAGATGTACAAAAGATTGAAACTCCTTTGGGACACAGATCACAGATCCCACTGACAGAATTCCCATTTGTTTTTAAATCAGACCTACAAGCACCACAGTGCTGCCTGAAGCTGATCCCTGCTGGTGGGACTTTCTGTTCCACTTGTGCTTGCAGAGCCTGATTGTTATGAGGGAGAACTTCCCTGCGGGAGGGTAAAGGACAGGGATGGGAAAACATCCCATCACCTGATTTTCCTGCTTTTAATTGGAAGGGCCCATCCAGTGTGGATGGGGGAATGACCCCAAGGGAGTCAGGAGGGAAGTGAGTCCCCCAAAATCGGACAGACAGGCCTGGCTTCCAAAATTCCAGGTCATTCCTGCTGCCTTGCACACCAGGTGGTGCCAAGGACCCTCTGCCCAAACCACCAACCCCGAATTCCCAGGCAGCACAAATGCACCTCTGGAAGCAGCTCCAGGACATCTCCCAGGAGCACCCACGGCAGCATCTCCTCAACCCTCCAGCATAACCCAAAACTGCCTTTCTGCTCGCTTATCCTTGCTTCAACTCCAGTCTGCACGGCTCAGATCACCCTGAACGTCAGACTCATCCCGAGACTCTCACATGTCACTCTGGGAACGGGGACTGCCAGCCCCAAACGGCTGCTCCGGGCCGGGGCCGTGACAAGGAGGTGCCAGCAGGCAAATGAAACCTCCCTGGGTTATTTAAATCCCCCTCTGTGACAGAGCAACCTCCACGGCCTGAGCACAGCACGCTGCCATGCATGGCAAGCGTCCCTGGATCTGCCAAGGGCCCGGCTCGGCTTCCCCTGAGCCTCCTTCAATTCCTCTGCACTCCCTGGGCAAGCTGGGATGCAGGGGCATGCTCTGGGGAGTGCTGCACACGCTGGACTTGGCAATGAAACTGATAATATTCACTGCAAACAGCGGTTTGAGCTGAGGGTGATGCTCCAGGGGACTCGGGATGCCAGTCTGTGTCTGAGCAGGGACAGCTGGCAGGCAGAGTGGGAGATGGGAATGGGGATGGAAAAGGGGAGCAGGGATGGAAAAGGGGAGCAGGGAAGGAAAAGGGTGACAGAGAAGGAAAAGGGGAGCAGGGATGGAAAAGGGTGGCAGGGAAGGAAAAGGGGAATGTTAGCATGAGGTTCCACGCTGATGGCTACCAGTGCTCCTGCAGTGCACGGGGCTGCTGTGCAACCAGCTCTGAGCAGCCCAACCTCAGATACCGATGCTCTTGACACACTTCAAACCATTTCCCTTCCAGAAATCCTCAAGTCAGGAAATCACTAAAACCTCAGCTCCCATTCCCTACGCCAAGCGCATCTCCCGGTGTCCCGGGGAATAACGAGGAGATGTCCAGCGGGTCCGACGCCGCCGGGAGCCCGAGGCGAGGACGATCCGTGCGTTCCTCCGGCCGCAGCCGGGCCCTGGGGCCGCTCCCAGCCCGAACTCCGCCGTGTCCGCAACTCCAGCGGTGCCGGAGCCGGAACCGGAGCCGGAGCATCCCCGGGCAGCGGCACCGCCGCGCTCCGCACGGGGTCCGGCCCCGTCGCGCCCCGGAGCCCCCCGGCCGTGCCCGAGCCCGGAGCGCCCCGTTTGTGCCCGAGCCCCCCGCTTGTGCCCAGCCCCGGCGCTGACCTGCCGCAGGATGAAGCTGGTGGAGGTGGTGCTGCCGTCCGAGCGCTTGAGGCGGCTGCGGCGCGTCGCGGTGCCCCTCGTCACCTGCCCGGGGACAAAGCATCAAGGGAGGTGTCCCGGTCCCTGTCCCGGTCCCGGTCCCGGCCCCGCCACCCCGGCCCCGCACGCACCGCGGCCATGGCTCCGCTCCCGCTGCTCCCCGCGCTCCGGGCGCTCTCCGGGCGCAGCGGAGCCGCCGCCGGGGCGGAGCGCGCTGGGGAGGGGGCGGCGGGCGGGGGGCGGCCCCGGGGCGGGGCTGGGACGGCAAAACCCCCGGAGCCCGGCCCCGGCACGGTTCCAGCGGAGGGGCGAGCCCGGAGCCCGGCCCCGGCACGGCTCCAGCCCGGTTCCAGCGGAGGGGCGAGCCCGGAGCCCCGCTGTGCGCTGGGAGGGACCGCTGGGGATGCTCACCGGCAGAGGGGAAGGGTCCGGGGCTGCGGGAGAGCTGGAGAGGGACTGGGGACAAGGGATGGAGGGACAGGAGCCAGGGAATGGCTCCCAGTGCCAGAGGGCAGGGATGGATGGGACATTGGGAATTCCCAGAGCAGCTGGGGCTGCCCCTGGAGCCCTGGCAGTGCCCAAGGCCAGGCTTGGAGTAGCCTGGGATGGTGGGAGTGTCCCTGCCATGGCAGGGATGGCACTGGATGGGATTCAAGGTCCTTCCTTGGGGGATGCCCTGGACAAGCAGCATCCTCGGAGCCCACCGGGCCCCTCCAGTCGAGCCCCAGGCCCTGCCCAGCCCTTCCCACATCCATCAGCACCGACCAACAGCACTCCCAGCCGGGGAGAGAGATCCATGCCCAGGGCACGGAGGAAAACAAGATAAATCAGGAGATGAGGAGTTGGAATAAAATCCGAGGAAGATTTGGAAACAACCTGGATTTCCTTCCCACTGCCGAGCATCACCTACAGACACATCTCACCTCCCACCGGGATGGGCAGAGCAGCAATGTGCACACCCTCACTCACTGACACACACTGGGATGGCACAGCAGCAATGTGCACACCCTCACTGACACACACTGGGATGGCACAGCAGCAATGTGCACACCCTCACTGACACACACTGGGATGGGCAGAGCAGCAATGTGCACACCCTCACTGACACACACTGGGATGGCAGAGCAGCAATGTGCACACCCTCACTGACACACACTGGGATGGCAGAGCAGCAATGTGCACACCCTCACTGACACACACTGGGATGGCACAGCAGCAATGTGCACACCCTCACTGACACACACTGGGATGGCACAGCAGCAATGTGCACACCCTCACTGACACACACTGGGATGGGCACAGCAGCAATGTGCACACCCTCACTCACTGACACTGGGATGGGCAGAGCAGCAATGTGCACACCCTCACTGACACACACTGGGATGGCAGAGCAGCAATGTGCACACCCTCACTGACACACACTGGGATGGCACAGCAGCAATGTGCACACCCTCACTGACACACACTGGGATGGCACAGCAGCAATGTGCACACCCTCACTGACACACACTGGGATGGGCACAGCAGCAATGTGCACACCCTCACTGACACACACTGGGATGGCACAGCAGCAATGTGCACACCCTCACTGACACACACTGGGATGGCACAGCAGCAATGTGCACACCCTCACTGACACACACTGGGATGGCACAGCAGCAATGTGCACACCCTCACTCACATTTGCACGAGCAGGATTGTGCACACCCTCACTCACACTTGCATGAGCAGGAGCAGGATTGTGCACACCCTCACTCACATTTGCACGAGCAGGATTGTGCACACCCTCACTCACACTTGCATGAGCAGGAGCAGGATTGTGCACACCCTCACTCACACTTGCATGAGCAGGAGCAGGATTGTGCACACCCTCACTCACACTTGCATGAGCAGGAGCAGGATTGTGCACACCCTCACTCACACTTGCAGGAGCAGGATTGTGCACACCCTCACTCACATTTGCACGAGCAGGAGCAGGATTGTGCACACCCTCACTCACACTTGCATGAGCAGGAGCAGGATTGTGCACACCCTCACACTTGCAGGAGCAGGATTGTGCACACCCTCACTCACACTTGCAGAAGCAGGATTGTGCACACCCTCACTCACACCTGCACACTCTCAGCACAGCCAGCATCCTCCTGCCTTGCTCCAGACACCAAATCCTTCCATCCTTGGCTGAAAGGAGCAGCCTGTGGCCGAGGTGAATGTGGGTCACTCAGGCTGTGGTCTAAATGAGATTATTTTTACATTCAGTTTCGTCACTGAATTGGTCCTAGGAAGGCATTTCTGTTGAAACATTAACTGTGAGGTGGCTGATTTCCCAGGGAAATATTCTCTCCAGAGAGCCCACAGATCAGACTGGGATTCAGAGGGAAAACTTGCCAGCATTTCCCAGTAATTCAGGATAGGATCTGGCTTTTTAAAGGTTGACTTCCAGCCTGAAGTGACCCTAAGTCAACACACTGGGGTGAGAAGGGCTGTAAAAAAAAAAAGGATGAAAACCAGTGACTGATGTGTAAATGACAATTTTTGGGGCTCTCTGCAGGCATTTGTGGTGTCCACACACAGCTTCAGCAGCAGGATGAAAGCCCAGGGATGCACCCTGATTGTTTGGGATGAGCCAGAATTTTTCAGGTGTTTTTGGTGTCCATGCACAGCCTCCCAGCAGGGTTAAAGCCCAGGGATTCACAATGATTTCTGGGATGAGCACAATTCTCAGGTGTTTGTGGTGTCCATGCACAGCCTCCCAGCAGGGTTAAAGCCCAGGGATTCACAATGATTTCTGGGATGAGCACAATTCTCAGGTGTTTGTGGTGTCCATGCACAGCCTCCCAGCAGGGTTAAAGCCCAGGGATTCACAATGATTTCTGGGATGAGCACAATTCTCAGGTGTTTTTGGTGTCCATGCACAGCCTCCCAGCAGGGTTAAAGCCCAGGGATTCACAATGATTGGGATGAGCACAATTCTCAGGCAGGACCACAGGACTCAGCTCTTCCTCTGTGAGCAGGGAATTCTCCAGGGTGTGTTTGTGAACAAACGCTGCTCATCCCACAGACACTCTCAGTGCAAGAGGGGCAGTGCCTGCACAGAGAGCTCTTAGAAAAGATGCACAGATAAAAACAAGGGAAGAAAATCATCTTGAACTCAGGAAATGACCCCTGAGAGAGGCCACAGAGTCCCCCAAGCCCAGGCCATCCCCACCAAGCCCTGCAGCACAAAGAACACACAAGAGCACGTGGAAGGTTTCAATAATCTGATTTTTACCATTATTTCTGGAGCCAACTGGAGAGACAAAGCGTGGCTGACGTCAGGTGACAGAGCACGAGCCCTCAGAGCACTCTGGGGTGACAAATTGAACAGACGCAACAGGTCCCCAGCTCACACCAAAGGAAATGGATCTCACAGTGACACTTAACACCCATGAAACAAATATACCACGTGGAAAGTCTCCTTAGAAAGGTTCCTATGTTAAGGGTTTGTATGAAAAAGCAGGAGTTCTCCACCCTGAATTCCTGATAGAAAACAGCAGGTAGAAACCTAAGGTAGAAATCTGGAGTTAGAGAAATCCTTTGGCAGCATGTTCAGTTACAATCAGGCCTTAAAAATAAATATGATCATGTCTAGAAGTATGAAGAGAAACACCAACCCCCTCTAAATACACTGGTTTAGTAATAATTAAATTATTTTACACTATCTACAAGTTGCATATCACAGAGTTAGGAGTAGAAGAGGTGACAGAAGGACAAATCCTTGCTTTTATAAAAGTTCAGGCATGTGTGGAGCTGTGTAGAAAATCTCAGACAAATGAGTATATACATTATTTATACTGAACAATTAACATCATCAAATCACATCTGGCTGGCTCAATTGAAGATTTCTCTTGGCCCAAAGCTCAGAATCCAAAGAAACCACCACTTTAAATTTCCTAACAAACATGGAGAATTGATAGCAACGAGAGCAAGGTTTAGTTCTACCCCAAACCAACCTGGAACAAAGTAAACTCTGACAAATAAAAGCTCCAAACAATAAGAATTTGGAACAGCAGCATTGAAATAAATTCATTTCCTCAGAAGACACAAGGAACAAGTTATCAGAACACTTCAGTATTGCCACGTGTGTTATTCGTACTGAGCTACTTCCAGGGCAAGGATCAAGACAAATTAATGTCCAAAGGAAAGACAGAATCCTCCTTCCAATTGCACACATTTCAATAAAAAGTGATTTAAAGAGCACTTTTTGCATGAGCACGAGGCTGCAAATATAAGGTCAAGATAGCAAATAATTAAATAAAGGAGGTGCTGAGTGAAGGGTGGGTTTGGTCACTCAGCAGCCTGGGAGTTCCAGTCTGGGATGAAGTTTATACATCAAAAATGCTTATTCAGACACCTGGGAGCTTCCTGCATTTAATGGGGATGTTTTTATCAGTAATTTGCTTCCATTATTTCCCCAAACCAAGGATTATCCCTCAGCAGAGGTGGTTAAAAGCAGGATAAATGTGACCGTGCTCCAGTGAGGAGGTAAACAGGAGGATGAAGTGATTTTTTTGTTCAGCAGTTGAAACAAGAAAAAGAAGGAATTCCCACATTCCCAAAGGATAATCCAGCTCATGTGCTCCCTTGGACAAACCCCACCCTTCAAAAAGTGCATCAGGGAAGAAATCCTTGGATTCCTCTCCTCCCCAGCTCCGAGGCAATCCCTCCTGCAGGGAAAGGCTCTGGATCTCCTGAGCACAGGAGCCCAATCCCACCCCAGCACGTGGGATGGCCTCAAACGCCCCTTTCCCAGAGGTGCAGAGCTGCTCTGGGCTCAGGGCTGGCTGAGACACGGCCACAGGGGCAGAGAGAGGAGATCCAAGGGAGGCAGAGCCCCCTGGTCCCATCAGGAGGGTTCCTGTTCCGCTCAGCTCCCCCTGCAAAGGGAACAGATCCTCAGAGGCTTCAGCAGCTTCAAACACTCTCCAGCCCCTCCTTTCCCACAAGGAATCCCAAGGCTCCTTCACTTCTACATCCATCCAGAAAGGGAAACTGAAGAGAGATCCTGTGAGTTCCTGGCTCAGCCCCTTGGATCCACCTGGAGCATCCCCTGCCTGCCCTTGCCAAGGAGCCTCGTGCTGGCAGTGCCACCTCTGCCAACACAGCGGGGAATGGGAGGAAAACTTCTTTTCCTCAAGAAAAACACAGCAATC